GTTCAGAAGACAGGTTATAAGGTTGCTAAAGGAACTTGTTGAGACATTCAAAGGACTTAGTGATACCTTTAAGGAACTTAAGGAGACCTCCAAGGAACTTAGTGAGAATATCAACAACATAAAAAAGGACCAGCCAGAAACCAAAGATGCACTAAGCGAAATGATTAATTTATAGATTCAATATTAGAGTTGGTAAAGCCAAGAAGCAAACCATCGATTTGGAATATAAGAAAACTAAAAACACACATTCAGAAGAGCAAAAAAAAAAAAGGAATCCACAAAAATGAGGATAGTGTAAGGAGCCTCTGGGACCACTTCAAGCATGCCAGCATTCGCATCATAGGCATGGCAGAAGGAGAAGAGACAGTAAGAAACTGAAAATCTATTTGAAACAATAATGTTCAGAATGATGAAAAGCAAGAATCTACAACCAAGATTATTCTATCCTGCAAAGGTATCATTGAGAATTGATGGACATATAAAGAGTTTCACAGATAAAAAAAGATAAAAGAGTTCATCACCACCAAACCAATATTACGTGAAATGTTGAAGGGTCATCTTGAACAAAATGATAAATAATATAAACAACAAAATGGCAATAAAAACACATCTATCGACAATTGAATGTATAACCAAAATGAATAAGCAGAAGAGAAACAGACTCATAGACACAGAGAACATTATGTTGGTTGCCAGATGGGAGGGGGTTGGGGGTATGGTTGAAAAAGGTGAAAGGATTCAGAAGTACAAATTGGTTGTTAGACTGACAATCCTCAAAGGGAAGGGGGGGTGTGGGAAGAAATACACCAGAGAAATCATATGCATATATGCATAACCACTGGACACAGATAACAGTGTTGGAAAAGTCGGGAGGGGGGCAGGAGCGGAAAGGAGGGGGTCAGTAGGGGAAAAAGACGGAACATCTGTAATACATTCAACAATAAAGATAAGTTTTTTAAAAAAGGGGGATGGAGGACATGCAGTGAAGTGTTAACTCAGCAGGCATGGGCCACATCCCTGTACATTCTAAAGAAAGGACTGGCCCTGACTGAGTACTGGACAATAACGTCTGATGATTCCCTAGAATATCCTCACTGATACCTGTCTATTTATGCAGATGCCTTTTGTATGTGTGTGTGGCAGAGGCTTTGGACAACACTGCAACCTTTTGAATTGTCGGGACTACAGGCACCAAATGGGTCTGTTTTCCTGGTAGGCACGACCGGGGTCTGTTTCCCTGGTACACAGTCTTTCACACGTGGTTTCAAACATCGTCCCTGGGAAAATTCAGAGATATTTTATTTTATTTTATTTTATTTTATTTTATTTATTATTATTTTTTAAATTTTGTTATCCTCACCCAAGGAAATTTTTGAATTTATTTGTAGATAAAGTGTAAGGGAGAGAGGGAAGAAGAGAGAGAGAAAGAGAGAAACTTCAATGTGAGAGAGATACATCGACTGGCTGCCTCCTACATAACACTGACTGGGCCTGGGGACAAATTGCAACCGAGGTGCATGCCCTTAACAGGAACGATCCTGGGTATCTGTGGTCTGTGGGCCGACGCTCTTGACTGCTAAGCCAAACTGGCCAGGGCATACACACATTTTTTTAAAGATGATAAACATTTATTATCTGTCTCCACAGGTCTGAATTCCAAGGAGAGCTTAATTAGGTCCCTTTCTCAGAGTCACAAGACTGGGCTAAGATGTGAGTCATGGGTGTGGCCCTATCTGGAACAGGGGACCTCTTCGAAGTGCCCTGGTTGTGGGCAGATTTTGGTTCCTGAGGTTGTGGGACTGAGGTTCTGTTTCCTCATGGGTGATGCTCTCCACAATGTGACAGTTTGCTTTAAGGGTAAAAGGAGACCACCTCAGTTATTTCTGCTTTTTGTCTCTTAACTTTAGAAGCTTTAAAAAAAAATTTTTTTTTTCTTTATTTATTTTAGAGGGACAGGAAAGGAGAGTGAGAGAGGGACAGAAACATCGATGAGAAAGAAAATCAATGGGCTGCCTCCTGCATGCCCCCCACTGGGAATTTAGCCCACAACCTGGGCATGAGCCCTGACTATGAATCCAACTGGCAACCTCTTGATGCATTGGTCGATGCTCAACCACTGAGCCTCACCGGCCCAGCTTAACTTTACTTTTAAGAGACTCACTGGATTTGGTCAGGCAATTTGGCCCATTTCATGTCATTCCTGGATTCTTTCCTAGATTATTTTTCATAATTTTAATCTGCATGTTTTACTGTTACTAACTGTAACCATGACTATAACAGTATCTTGCCCTCCCTGACCTTGTACATTGTAGGGAAAACAGGCCTTTTACAAAATTAGCTAAATACTGCCATTTTTCTGCTCAAATGTGTTTCCTGGTTCTCAATTTATTTGGAAAGATAGCTATACGCACTTCGTTTTTTTTATCCTCACTCGAGGACATTTTTCCATATTTTGTTCAGATAGAATGGGAGGGAAAGAGAGGAAGAGAGAGAGACAAACATCGATGTGAAAGAGACATATCGAGTGGCTGCCACGCGCACAAACAACCAGGGCCGGGGACAAACCGCAACCAAGGTACGCGCCCTTAGTGGGAACCGAACCCGGGTCTCTCTGGACCGCAGGGCAACGCTCTAACTGCTAAGCAAAACCGGCCAGGGCCATTAGCAAGGTATTAAATGGCTTCAAGAGGCAATGTGTGGCCTCTATCTCAGAACCCCCAGCTGGCACCCCACTGTCCTCACCTCATGTCCTTCCTCCATGTGCTCACTTCATCACTTCAGTCATCCAGACAAGCTTACTAGAACTTCGTCACACACATTACACATTCAGCTCTTTCTACTTCCCACAGGCTCACATTTTAAAAACTCCAGGGAGGTGGCTTACATCCGTCATCTATATGCTCAAAGGCACCTTAGGAGACAACTGTTTCAGATCCTAAAAGCCCAGTTTTAGAACAAACAACCAATCTTATACTGCTTGTTTATTTTCCTTACAGCAATTCTTACCTTATGATTTAAATTTGTGGTTGGTTATATAGTAAATGTACAGAGAAGGAAAATAATGCGATGAGTAGGAACAAGATGGGTTCATTTTTTTGCACTGTTGTTACCTTCAAATATTGGCATATACTAAGGCAAGTTGAAAGGCATGAAGCGATCAACTCAACTGCAGGAGGCAATAACAGGTATGGACACATTAAGAAGTGTGTAGCCCAGCTGGTGTGGCTCAGTGGTTGAGCATCGACCCGTGCTCCAAGAGGATGCCAGTTCCATTTCCAGTCAGGGCACATGCGCAGGTTGTGGGCCCCATCCTCAGTGAGGCGGCCAATCTATGTTCTCTCTCACTCATGTTTTTATCTCTCTCTCCCTCTACTTTTCTCTCCCTAAAATCAATAAAGAAAAAAAATCCAAGAAAAAATAAAATCCAAGCATTTATGTAGAAATTCACAAGCATATTCTGAAATTCAATTAAAAATAAAAAAATTCAGAAGTAAAAATCATCTTCTGGAGAAAGGTAAGACTTGGAGGCCTCAGTCTTTGCAATTTCGAATCTTACTAAAGATCTGTAGGAATCAATACCACAATGAAAATACGCACATATAAAATACTCCAGAAAAAATTGTGTGGATGATTGATAAACCCTACGAATATACTGAAAGCCAATTAAATATATAATTTAACCAGTAAATTGTACGGCATGCAAAACAAATGTAAGGAAAAGGAGAAAAAACAAGATATGAAAACAAATGCTTTAGTATAAAAAATTGGAGCCAAAACATCAAAGCATAAAACAAAATCTAAATTAAGAAAACTAGGAAGGAAGTCACTGAAAACAAACATAAGCTATGACTTAATTTGGGCTGGAACTCATGGAATACAGTAAGATCTTTCCTGTTCAGCCCTGGCCGGTTTGGCTCAGCGGTTAGAGCATCCGCCTGCAGTCCAGAGAGACCCGGGTTCAGTTCCCGCTAAGGGCATGTACCTCGGTTGCAGTTTGTCCCCGGCCCTGGTTGGTCGTGCGGGTGGCAGCCACTCGATGTGTCCCTTTCACATCGATGTTTCCCTCTCTCTCTCTCTTCCTCTCTCTCCCTCCTACTCTATCTGTGCAAAAAATGGAAAAATGTCCTCGGGTGAGGATTAAAAAAAAAAAAAAAAGATCTTTCCTGTTCATCAAATGACACAGTAGAAAGGTTTTAGATAAAAGCTCAGCATGTCGGGAACATTCCAGCTCATTCCACAATTCCTCACAGCATTTTAAATGTCTCAGTGAGAAGAGAAACAAATTTTGAAAATGATGGAAAAAAAGACGATTCCTGCTCTTACACTTTAAAAAAGCAGCCAGAGTGCCAATGCCATGCTGCTAAGTAAAATATGTGGGAACAAAGCTTACGTTAGAAGATCTAGATGGAGAAGTATTTCGGGGTCCATTTCACAGATCAGAAAGAGTTTAACTCAAAAGAAATGGAGAAACTGTTTAACAGTCATGAGAACTGAGTATGAAGAACCTTGGGGCAGGTGGGTAAAAAGTGAAATAAATGCACCGTGAAAACCAGGTCATCATGGGGACACAGTATCCAAGGTGGGATTAGATGTTATGGAGAAAAATCACTATTTCCTAAGAAGCCAGGAAAATCCTGCAGTAAAACAAAAGGTGATGAATTCAACCTTGTCTCTCTCCAGAGAGCCCTGGAAAGTGTAATTTACAGCAAGAGACTTGGTAACATAGGCAGAGACACTGTGGACAAAGACGGGGATGATCTGAGAACCCTAAAAGAAAGACAACAACACAAACAAAAACAAGATGAAGATAAAATAATCTAGCATCAGAGCACAGAAGAGAAAAAAAAATGTATGTTTTCCTCTAAACTTCTACAAAACAACAGGGTTCTCATCCATGCAGGGTGGGTTCAGTTTCCTCCTCCACTGCCACGGCTCTGACGCCTGCTCTGACTAGAATGTGCCTTCCTGGCCGCCTACCTTATTGAGTCTCCTTCACTCACCTGCACAGACTAGACCATGGAGCTCATCCTGTGCTGTCCAGGGTTCTTCCCCTCGTTCCAACTTGGAGAGCGCATCTGGTTTGCTGGCCTGATACCCTGCTCGAGAAAAATGACAAAAGACTTAGACATATTGAATGGGGCTGGGGTCTGCCAAGGAGGGGGAATGAACAGGTTTCACATCTCTAACACAAGGACTGTTCCCTCTGGAGTAGAAACACTGTACCCTCCAGCCTGGGGCAAGACAATGATCTGAGATTCCACACTTTGAGGGGAAGGCAGTTATTCTGAAGAGGTAAGCAGGTGAGAACAGAGAAGCCACTAGCAGGGTAGAGCTTGGTGCCACAGGGAGCTGTCCTCACCCACTAACTTCAGGTGGCTGAAGTTCTCCAACATCACATCCTTGTACAGGTTCTTCTGATCGGGGTTCAAGAGCTGCCACTCTTCCCAGGTGAAGTCCACAGTCACATCGTGAAATGTCAGGGATTCCTTTAACAACACCAAGCTGTTTATTGTGGGATGTCTTACAGATGATATGGAAGAAATGTTCATTTTTTTACTCATTATCACTTTATACGTTGCATCTACACAGCCACTGGGATTTATTTTCATATGTAGTTGAACAGGCACATGGCTACTAAAATGCTACTTGCAATTGTTCATGCAGTCATCCAGGCGTTCATCCAATTAGATGTCACTCTAATGCGAAGAAGTTAAATATTCTTGATAAATTAGAAACATCTTTAATGTATTTAAATTTGTATTCTTGAGAGACAAAAAATTTATATGTATACTTCCCAAATGAAGATTGGTAGTTTTTTATAGGCATCTGCAAACACATTAATAAGAAAAGGAAAGAATAAAACAAACCGAGCCCTGACCCAGTGGTTAGAATAACAGCCCAAGATCAAAGACTCCTATGTGGACTTCTGGTCAAGGGCATGTAGCCGGGCTGTAGTTAAGATCACAGCGCCTTTACGGTGCTTGAGGGAGGCCAGCAATGGATGTATGTCTCACATTAATGTTTCTCCCTCTCTCTCCCCACTATGCATCTATCCTCCACTCCACGCTCTCTAAAATTCAATGCAAAAATTACTGCCTAGTAGGATTAAAAACAAAACAAAGTCACCTGAGCCTGGAGCATTGTCTTCTGCTCTCTGACAGGAGCTGGCAAAGGGAAAGCTCTAGCTCGCTGAGTCTCTGGTCAGCTCTAGGTTTCTGTTTAGAAATCTGTCTTCAGTTAGTTGGGTTCCTGAAATGCTGATAATCCTCCTGGGAAGTTTTCCTTGCTTCACACGATGCAATTGCTTGTGGTGTCCATGTAAGAAATGTCCAAACCTGTGGAGAATTTCTATGAGTTTATTTGACAAATGCCAGGAAGCAAACTGGCAATGGATGGATAATGCTCTGGAGAACGGCGGCTTTGCAACTTTTTTCTACATTAGTATCAAAGGAGAAGACATAGGGGATTACATGAAATCCACTCGGGATAGATTGGAGGTGGGGGGTGAGGTGAGGCAAAGCAGGGAAATCTCTGGGATTGGAGAAAAACTAAAAAAAAACAACAAAAAAAACCCACACACTTTTAAAGGGGCAGTTGTAGAACAGTTAGAAGCTAAAGTTTAATACAATAACAGTAAAATATGTGGGCTCTGTGGTCTCCTACTGTGGTGGAAAATTGTGCTAAGGGGGGTCTATAAAAAAAGGAAAAATTCCTTGATAGTCCAAAGGTATGTTATACTAGATACAAAAAGACAATAGACAATAGACAGGCTCAAGAAGGGAGAGACTGAACTCTGTCAAAGTAGATACCAGGGAGGCCATGATTACGCTTGTGACTGGCGGTTGGTTAGCAGTTCTCACTTCAGACCATCCGACAGGGAGAGTTTTGGCCTCTGGGTGGGGAAGACCGCCGAGCCCTGCAGGCGCCCCTGAGCTGTGCAGGTTCAGTACGGGGCAGCACTTCTGTCCACACCAGGGTCAGAACCCGTGGGCTCAGGAGAATATTCCACAAGGGGTACGTTTCCTCTGCGACCCGATGATGCAGTGCTCCTGACCCCAATGCCCACAGTGTCACTGCTGTCCCTTTATCTGGTCTCCTGGAAGCCTTAGCTTCCACATGTGGTGGGGATATTCCTTCACTCTTTGGAGTTAAGGGGAGTGATTGACAAAAAATATAAGAAATGACACTATAGAGGCGGAATAATATTTCCTTCTTCTCTAGCTTCTTTGGCAGGTCTGATAATGAAATGGACAGTACACAGATTAATGGGAAAAACAATCCAAATGTTAATAGCACATTCACCTCTTGAATTTATGGAAGAGATTCAGAAAGAAAGAGTAATTAGCTGAAATGTCCAATGCCATCACCTGAAATATCACCCTCACCTACAATCAAAAAGTACTGGGAGTGGAGACTAGTTAGGGGAGATTCTCAGGAAAAGGTAAGTAAACAGGATAAAGGTTGTTATTCAGGTATTAAACAACTCTCACTATAGAGCACAGAGCTTCAGAGGTACAGGTCTGTCATTTACACGGGAGGGAGCCAGATCATCCTCCCTGCAAATGAGATACAGGGGCTCAAGCCTGAAATCTGAGGATCGAACCCAGAACTTGTCGGGGCCCAGCAATTCCGCACAGCCGCCTGAGCCAGGGCCACCAGGGTCCTTTGCGCCAGGTCCACGTGGGCGCTTTCCCCTCCCCCACCCACAACTGTGATAATTTCAGGCTCCGGCTACAGCACCTCCACCTCCTCCTGTGAGAAACAAAACTTCTACTGTGACCAAAATCCTTCCAGGGAAAAACACACACGGACCTCAGTTTTCCCCAGACCCACAAAGAAAGCGCAGCAGTTGAGTTGTCTTCCTCTTCCACAGGGCTACTGCTCAGGCCTGGGCGGCCAGGACTCCGCTGAGCCTGTGGAAGGAAGTCTCGCGGCGCTTTCCGGTGTTTGGCGCCAAATCGTCCCCGCCCACCTCGCGGGGGCTCCATGGGGGCCGCCATGATGGGACACCTTCCTGCCGTACAGAAGGCTGCTTGGTGGGGCTGGGGGCCAGGAACCAGGGAGGGCGGAAATGTGAGAAGTTATAAAATTATCTCAATTTCTCTGGTCCGTTTCGCTCAGTGGTTGAGACCTGATACCTGCACTGACAGGTCCTGGTTTGATTCCTGGTCAGGGCCCATGCCAGGGTTGTGGCCTCCAACCCCAGTAGGGGGCGTGCAGGAGGCAGATGATTGAGGTAATGCTCTCAAATCATTGTTTCTCTCTCTCCCTCCCACTCTACCTGAACAAAAAGTGGAAAAATGTCCTCGGGTGAGGATAAAAAAAACAAACAAAAAGAAAACCTAATTTTTTAAAAAAATAACCTCTCTCACTTTGACTCTAAAAACACGGGAACATTTTCAGAACTTCGTGCCGCGCACACTGTGAGCGCCACGTTGCTTTCAGCCGCTGGGGTAGAGAACTGCTATACCTGCGGCATATATCTTCCCCCCCAAAATGTACACACACGTTTAATAATGATAAAGGCAGTGTTTATTAAAATACATTTCATTTTGCCCTGGCCAGTTTGGTTCAGTGGTTAGAGTGTCGGCCTGCGGTCCAGAAAGACCCGGGTTCGGTTTCCACTAAGGGCATGTACCTCAGTTGCAGTTTGTCCCCGTCCCTGGTTGGGTAGTGTGGGTGGCGGCCACTCGATGTGTCCCTTTCTCATTGATGTTTCTCTCTCTCTCTCTCTCTCTCTCTCTCTCTCTCTCTCTCCCTCCCACTCTATCTGAACAAAAAATGGAAAAATGTCCTCAGGTAAGGATAAAAAAATAAAATACATTTCATTTCAAACATGTAATAGGATCCACAGACATTGTTAAACAGTCTTGTCAATGTCTGTTTTCAAACTGATGTTCTTTTTGGTCCAGGCACTGCAATGGGATAGCAAACGTCAAGAATGACTTTGTTCAGCTCAGCAGATGTGGCTCAGTAGATTTAGCATCATCTCATGGACAGAGACTGAGAGGTCCTGGTCACAGCACATCCATGGGTTGCAGGCTACATGCCCAGTTGGGGCTGTGGAAAAGGCAGCCATCTGATGATTTTCTCTCTCACCTCATTCTTTTATCACTGAGGAATCAATTGAAATATATATATCAAAAAAGAATTTTGGCCCAGACCCGTCTGGATCAGCGATTAGAGCTTTGGCCGTCAGACTACAGAGACCGGGATTCAGTTCCACTAAGGTCATGTACCTGGATTGCAGTTTGTCTGCAGCCTGGTTGGGGTTGTGTGGGTGGCAACCAGTTGATGTGTCTCTCTGGCATCGATATTTCTCTCTCTCTCTCTTCCTCCTTCTCTACCTGAAGATAATAATTAAAAAAAAATAAATCCTTATGTGAGAATAAAAAATATAAAGAATCATTTTGTTCAATATTTGTGCCTATTCTCTTTCAATAGGTGCACTCCATTTTTGTTGCTGGATTGGTACTGTAAACTTTATCTTTTATGTATCTCCTGAGCAGTGGCCAGTGGGTAAATTCTTCTATGTTCAAAGCTTACTCTAGCTTCACCACTGTGGAGGGCGGCAGAGCCAAGGTCTCTTGTTCCTGTGGTGTTTGCACAATCCCGCCCAGGAACCTTTAGTCCAAAGGACACTTGTTGATCCTGTGTGCTGGCAACACCCACACAGGAACATTCTGCCCAAGATCTCTTGTTCTCTCTGTGTCCTGAGCCACCGGCAAGAATGTATCGACAATCTAGACTTTCAACTCAGAGGCCCAGGGAAACATTTGGTGTTTAAGAACAATGAAGCTTTTGAGCTTCCCCCCACCCCCACACTCAATTGGCTATGTAATAAATTGGCTTAGCTAGTTCAGGGTCAGTATTTCTCCATCAGAGAGCAGTGTCCCACCTGGCCCAAGATTTTCTCTCTAGAAGATGGCGGGTAGGTAAACGCAGTATCGCGTCCTCCCACAACCACATCCAAGTTACAACAAAACTACAGAACAACCACCATTCAAAACCGCCTGAAATCAAGCTGAATGGAAGTCCTACAACTACGGAATTAAAGAAGCTGCATCCAGACTGGTAGGAGGGGCGGAGGCGCGAGGGGTTGGTCCCACACCCACGTGTGGCGGATAAAAATCAGGACACCTCGGCTGGGAAGGTCCTTCCTGAGGTCTGAGGGGTCCCCATCCCACACCAGGTGCCCTGCTCAGGGTTCCAGTGCCAGGAAGAGAATCCCCATAACTTCTGGCTGGAAAAACCAGCAGGAACTGAGGCTCAGGGAGGCTGAAGCGGCTGGAGCCCCAGGCAGCTCCTTAAAGGGCCCGCGCACGGACTTATCGGACTCGCTCCCTCTAAGCTTGGAGGGGAGGCAGCTCGAGGGGCACCAGAGACATACAGGGAAGAACTGAGCTGTTTGGCACTGGAGCGAGGGCTGGAGAGGGGGCTTTCTCCGGGACAAACGTGCTGTCAGAGGCCTTTGTTCCTTTGGTGAGCTCTTCCCTGGGGCGTCAGACAGCTGCCATATCTGGGGCTCCAGCAACCTGGCTCACACTGGTAGCCCCGCCCTGCTGACTCCCTGAGGCCCTGTCCCGCCCCACCCAACTTTCAGGCCCACCCAAGCTGTTGCCACTTGCTTAACCATAGGATTGGCCTGACTTGGATCCTGCATCAGGTTTTCCTAAATTTTTTGAAACGAGCAGCATCTGGTCTCAGCGAGCCCTATACCGCTCGTTAAGTAATACACAGAAACAAACACAGGGAGGCAGCCAAAATGAGGAGACAAAGAAACAGGTCCCAAATGAAAGAACAGAACAAAACCCCAAGAAAAGAACTAAGCGAAATGGAGATAAGCAACCTAACAGATGCTGAGTTCAAAATACTGCTTATAAGGATGCTCAATGAACTCAGTGAGGGCCTCAAGAGCATAAAAAAGGACCAGACAGAAATGATCGATGCACAGTTAGAAACGAAGGAGGCTTTAACTGAAATAAAGAATAATTTACACAGCTTCAATAATAGAGTACGTAAATCCAAGGAGCAAACCATCGATTTGGAATATAAGGAAGCAAAAAATGCCCAACCAGAACAGCAAAAAGAAAAAAGAATCCAAAAAAATGAGGATAGTGTAAGGAGCCTCTGGGACAACTTCAAGCATGCCAACATTCGCATCTTGGTGGTGCCGGAAGGAGAAGAGAGAGAACAAGAAATCGAAAACCTGTCTGAAACAATAATGGCAGAAAAC